AAGTATAAGCAAGCCAGATCTAGAAATGCACACTGCACTTCTATTTTTTTTTTTTATAGGTAATAGGGGATGAGTGCTATAACAGCAAAAAAAATAAAAAAAATAAAAAAAAATTAAAAAAATCCCCCCTCAATTAGTACTATATAGTACATATAAAATAAATGGATAAAGTGCTGGAAGGTCAGTGACAAAACAAGATTTGAAAAAAGAAAAAGGAGAAATTATACATCATGGTCTTGAATGATTTTATAAATAAGGTAAGATGTGAGCTAACCCTGTGCCTACAGCTTCTGCAAATGCAGAGTGTTTCAAGCACGTGTGGTACAAACACTTGCTATGTGAATACAGCATACAGGCTACTGTTGTAAGTATAAAACTTATAAATGTCAGAGACATTACATGTATATGGGAATTTCCTAACTGAGAATTGTTAAAAGACAATGTCGGCAATGCCCCAGAGGCCTAAACTGTGTATGAACTAAAAATGGACAATTTCTAACCATAAAAGTTTTGAAATGGTGATAAATAAGAAAACAAACAAACAAGAAAGCAACACACACCATCCCAAAGATTCTTATGTGTCTGAGTTAATCAAACAGTGCAGAACAGCAATTTGACATGAAGTCAGGATGATCTAAAACTATATTCCACTTATCAACAGCAAAGCAACAAAACATCAGCTAACTGACAAAGCTTAAAGCACCTCGATATTATGTAAGCATAACAATAAAAAAGATTATACCTATTTTATGATGTGTAAACATCAATAAAGAAACAATGAACAATAATTTTGAATGTGAGTATTCATTCAGCTTGTATCAGAGAACTGAAGTTGACGTATCTAATCAAAGTTGATAACGTCTGGTTAAATTTTGAAGGCTAAGTCTAATCTCTAACCAACAAAAACATCACGCAGTCAGAGATGACAAGGGCGGTATTTTACAAACATAGATGCTCAGTTTTGACACTAAAAGAACAGTTAAGCCGAATGCTCGTGTTTGTTCAAGCACTGTGGAACACCTTCACACATTTATAAATAACTGAGGAGCTCAGAACCGGAAATTATATAGCAGGCCTTTCCAAATGTAACAACATTGGTGAAACAGATCATCTTCTCCCTTTTTCCTAAAAGAACTTTCTTTTTCTTTCAAACATTTCTGTGAAGTTTTGCTTATTTTTGCACTATCTTTGACATTTCAATCAGGACTCGCCTTACAAACAAAAACAATTATTTTTAGAATATTATAATTCTAGGCTGAAAAGAATGAAACTTGGTGAATATGGCAAGAATCCACTAGGTCAAAATAATAGCAATAATTAAGCTCTACCTGAAGTAAGAAATAAGAAAAAGTTGCTATCAAAACCAAGGGGAACTTGAAAATCTTCCAGGAAACTAAGCTGAATTATTTAGTCAGGTATCATTCCGGATGAACTGCATGCCTTATTTATCACATCTTTTGGTAGAAGTGATCTAAATGATGATTAACAGTGGGTAACCTGCTACATATTTTGACTAATAATTGAAATTCAACAGAGTCACCAAACATACTCACCGAAGGGACATCCAAAATCAATTCTTCCACAGTTGTTAAGTCTAAACCTAGCCTGATGCTGAGAACTTCAAATATGTATTTATATGAAGCATCAATTTTTGTTCTTCGGTTTTCTCTTGCTTCTCTGTATCGAGCCTACAACATTAAACATCTTTCAAACAGAAAATACACAAATTGATCCATAACTGTATCCTGCTACTTCACTTACAACTAAGGTTGAATGTCTTGTATTATAGATCCATAACTGTTTTATTCTTTAAAAGTATGTGTACTTTCACCAAAGAGCAAATTACTATGAATTATTAAAAAACATGATGCAAACAGACGATATGGCAAGGGGAATCAAATGTTAAATATACTACAGTAGATCTTAACATATTTTACAGAATCACAGAATTGTAGGGGTTGGAAGGGACCTCCAGAGATCATCGAGTCCAACCCCCCTGCCAAAGCAGGTTCCCTACAGCAGGTCGCACAGGTAGGCATCCAGGCAGGTCTTGAACATCTCCAGAGAAGGAGACTCCACAACCTCCCTGGGCAATTTGTGTGCCATATTAACTAGTTTTCTTTTTCACAAAAATATTTTGAATTATTAAATTAATTAATGTTCCTAAAATTAATATATTTATATTAATTTATATAATCTATATAATTTATATTTATATATAATCTATTGCTAAGCCAGCCTATATCAGAAATAATATCAAGCTAAAACATCTACAGACAATAAATATTTTCAGGAATCAAGCTGGGCACAGCTTTGCTTCAGTGTAAATTATTCAATTAATATCTTTGGCCACCTTCTACTACAACTTTAAGATAAAATCTTAAAATATTGAAACCATTACAAACAGATACACTTTCTATCTGAAATAAGAAAACCAAATATAATTAAAAAGAAAGAGAGGAAGAAAGGAAATGAAAAAGTAAAAAAAAAAAAAAAAAAAAAAAAAAAAAAAAAAAAAAAAAGGGAAATGAAAGAAATGGAAACATAAAAGGAAAAGAGAAACAGTTCATTTAAAATGAATTTAATTATCTGAGAAAGAACCAGAAATCTATGTCAAGACCTAACATTGAATACTAAACCTGTTTTTCTTTTAAAATTTCTTGCATGGACAGAACTCCAGCAGAGCTCCGGTAAAGCCTAGACAGCCTTCGGGTTACAGGACTCAAGGACTCCTGGGAAGGAGAAGAGTTTACTACTTGTTGAGCACGGTGAACAGATTTGTCTTCGGCATCCCCTGGTGCAACAGGGCCAGACACAGAATCCCCTGTAGTGAGATTTTGCCCAGTATTATCCGCTGCCACTTGACCGGACCCAGAATCTTCTCCAGTGTTGGAATTTTCATTATTATCTTCTTGCACATTCTCCATTCTGAAATCTTCAGAAGGAAGATTTCAAAAAAGGAAAAAAAGTCAAAAAAGGAAAAAATAGCGTGTGTATATAAATCATGAACTATATACAGAATGCCCCACCATACATGATACCCTAAACACACACAAGTTCAGATAAAATGTAGGATGGAGGTTGTTGGGTAGTATTTCTTCAGTGGAAGTGTTTAATTTCTACAGTATTTCTATGTCTTACTTAATAAGTTTCATTTTGATTTAAATTAATACAAAAATCAGATCTTCATCATTAAAAGCATGCTGTTGAAAGGGTAAGAAATATCAGACAAGGCTGCACCCTAAAATTCATACAGACTGAGCTCTTTGCATGTAGTGACTTATGAAGTCTTATACAATATATTAAAATTTCCTAGAGTGTTGAGCACATCAAGACTTCTTCACCACAGTATAAAAAAGACAGACTTTCCTCTTAATTCTGTGAGTAACCTAAGCTGGCTAGAATACTAGCAGAATAATTGTTCCCAGGTGAGAATTTCTAAAATGGACAAAGCAAGGTATATTCATGACTGACTGCTAAGCAGTCAGCTGCTATGGAAAAGAAATTCTGCTGTTTTCTTCCCCTGTATATTTCACTATCTGAAAAGGCCAATAAAGGTTTAGTTTGTGAATCTCAAGCCTGTAATTCAGGGTTACAAAGAATTACGTAAATATCCTCTCCCTTTCCTCGTACGGGGAGGCATATTTATCCACTAGCATTTGCTAGCTGCCATCAATCCCACTCAATAGATCTTAACACTCTTGAATATACAGAAAATTAAATGCATCATTCAGTATTCTCATTCTACACACAGACTGAAACAACTATCTTTAAGGCACTATTACCATCATTACACCTATACCTGAAGTCTTTGTGTTTAATTTTATTCTTTAAAATAGCTTGTTCAGTTACACAAGGATGTTAGAATAGGTGCATAACCTATATAAATATACAGAGTAACAGATAAAAATGTTGAAAATGCCATTGTAACTCAGAGTACTACTACCATAAAGATTAAAACAAATATCATAGATTACACAGAAGTTCTCATGAGGCCTTAAGGCAGCCAACCAGGTATAACCAACCATACATTCTGTACTGGTAAGGATGTGTGGTAGATCATGCTCATCAGGTCAGAGCATGAGCTCCAGCTGGCTGCCTACCCTGATTTCCATCACGCCCTTGGACATACACTTCAAACACGGCACAAAATAACAAAATCATTCAACTTTCCTCTCGTAACTCAAATTCGAGGTTTATTCTGCATCACTTCTAACGACTGTTACCTCAGTCACCAGCACCCCCAGTCCGTTGACAAATCTATGACTTTCTCAGCTTTGCTCCTTACCCTTTTAGTGCAGCAGCAACGCGACAAGAGGACCAGGGGGAGAAAAGGACGAGAAAAATAAGCCTCGGTGTTACTCAGTAGTTTCAGTGCCCGCCCCAACCGGCCGGCCGTCACCAGCCGGTCTGCCTCCGGGACGGAGCGACACAGCGCGCTACTGCGCTGTTGGCCGTTATGGGGCGCCCGTAACAACTGCGGCTCTGCTCGCGCGGGGCTCGGCTCTGCTCGCGCGGGGCTCGGCTCTGCTCGCGCGGGGCTCGGCTCTGCTCGCGCGGGGCTCGGCTCTGCTCG